GGACTAGTGGTTGGTAGCACTATGTTCCCTCATAAAAGGATACATAAAGCAACATGGAGGTTCAATGATGGGACTATATTAAATCAGATAGATCATATCCTGATGAGCGCTAGACACATATCAAGCTTAAGAGATGTAAGGACATGCCGTGGAGCAAACATCGACTCAGACCACTATCTGGTCATATCTCGAATCAGGGCTAGGATCTCTACTGTTCGGAACCGAAGAAGAGTACCTCAGCCATCGTGGAATATTGAGAAGCTCAAAGACCCTGAAAGGAAAATTCGTTTTGTTGACTCCATAGATGAAAAACTACGAACCTTGACTCTGGAAGGTGATACTGAGGACCATTGGGAAAAACTTAAGGAAGCGGTGAAAGTCATTGCCGACAGGGTTTTGGGGCTCCAGTCTCCCACACCCTTAGGAAACCATGGTTTGATGAGAAATGCGAAGCTATAACCGTCCTCAAGAATGAAGCTCGCAAGCTGACCCTACAAAGAAACAATAGGGGCTCGGAAGACACATATAAGGCCTTGAGAAGACAAGAAAAACACTTACACAGGAGGAAAAAAAGGATACAGAAGTTTCAAGAGCTCCAGACAATCGAGGAATTTTGAAGCCTCTGAAAACCCTTCAAGCACCAGATTGCTACCTGTAGGGATTCAGACGGTACCCTCCTAAACGAGAAAAATAAAATACTCAGATGGAAGAACCATTTTTATGATCTCTTACGAGATACTAATCCACACACTAGGAGCATGGAGACAATATTGAGCCCTCTGACCTTGAAGAGGTTGAAGAAGCCATTGAAAACCTAAAATACAACAAGGCTCCAGGCGCAGATGGTTTACCTGCTGAGATCATCAAGTGTGGTAGCCAAGAACTCACCAAAATCTTGCACCAAATAATCCTAGGAATTTGGGAAGGGGAAAGAATCCCATCAGACTGGTATAAAACCATAATCTGCCCAATAAACAAAAAGGGCGATGTTCTTGATTGTGGGAACTACTGAGGGATTTCTCTTTTGTCATGCGCCTACAAAATACTCTCACGAATACTATTCCTTAGGTTCCTCCCTTTTTCCTAAAGAGAAATAGGAAACCATCAAGCAGAATTTATGAGGAGTAAAGGAACGACAGATCAGATTTTCTCTCTGAGAATGATGTTGGAGAAAGCCCGTGAATATAATATTCAAACCCACCACCTCTTCATCGATTTCCGGGCTGTGTATGACAGTGTACTGAGAGAGGAACTGTTCGGGGTGATTTTGTAAATGGGTGTCCCTAGAGAACTGGTGTGTATGATTCGTCAAAAAATGGAGTCCGTCTAGTGCTTAGTGCGAGTTATCGGATGCTTTCCCCACAAGCAAGGGCTTAAGGCAGGGAGATGAGCTTGCCTGCCTACTGTTTAATTTTGCCCTAGAAGGAGCCATTAGGCAGTCAGACATTCAGGTTGGTGGAACGATTTTCAATCGCACGGTGTAGCTCCTTGGATACGCTGATGATATCGACATCATAGGTAGGACTTTTACGGGCATGAGCTAAGCCTTCTTAAGCCTTGAGACAACAGCTGCACGGTTTGGACTGCAAGTTGCCAAGTCCAAGACTAAATACATGAGTACTAATGCTCAAGAAGAGTACCCAAACGTATTTAAGTTCAAAGATACACATTTGATACTTGGGATCTCTAATTACAAGCGACAATGCAGTGTGACCTGAAGTGCAACGCAGAATACAGGCAACCAACAGATGTTACTTTGGACTACTCCCGCAGCTTAGCAGGGTAATCTCCCAAACAACAAAGCTGCGACTGAACAAAACCCTAATAAGGCCTGTTCTCACCTATGGTGCTGAGGCGTGGACGCTGACCAGGGCATTGGAGGAAGATTCGAAAGAAAGGTGCTCAGGAGGATTTTGGGACCAATCTATGATCCAGAGGGGTCCATCTGGAGAAGGCGAACAAACCAAGAAATAATGAGTACGCCCCTTGAAGAAGACCTCTAACCCATCAGCTCTTAATGATTTCCGTCCAATTTTCCTTCTTTCAAACCTCATTTTTTAGAGCACAATCTTCTAAACCCCTACCAGTCCAGCTTCAGGCCTGGCTACTATACTCAGTTTGCCCTAATCAAAATTTCTCAAGACCTTCATACAGCCATAGATCAGCAGAAACTAACCATCCTTATTCTCCTTGACTTCTCTATAGCTTTTGATTCAGTAGACCACAACATCCTCCTAACCAAACTTAAAAATATATCCTTTTCTTCTAGTGCCCTTAATTGGTTCCAATCCTTACTAACCGGTCGCTCCCAGTATGTTGTGATCCCTAATAGCTCCCTTTCAGAATCTCTACCCTTGTCCAGAGGTGTCCCACAAGGCTCTTCCCTATTCCCCACTCTTTTTTCCATCTATCTAAATGACCTCCTATCCTCAATCCTGCACTGTCAATACCACATGTATGCCAACGATGTTAAGATTTACCTCTTCTTCAAACCAATCAATTCCTCAGATGCCATTCTAAAAATCCAAGAAGATATTGACAGAATAAGTGAATAGCCAAACCTCAACAGGCTCACTCTGAACGCTGAGAAAACGAAAGCCATCTCGATTGGATCCCCCACACTCCTCAAATCCTTACTGGCATCCCTCAATCTTCTCCTGAACAACTCACCTATCTTATTCCATACTACCGTTAAAAACCTAGGTGTTATTTTTGATCAAACCCTCAAACCCTGCAAACCACACATCACCCAAATTTCCGGTCGCACTATCTCCACCCTAAAACAGTACAATCGCTTACGTTATCTCCTTCCATATAAGTCCCGTCAACTCCTAGTTTCCTCTCTTGTTTTCTCCCACTTCGACTATCATTGCATGGTGAACGGTGGACTCTCGGGAGATTCCGGGCCAAACTTTACCACCTAATGAATTGCGCATTACATTTTGTTTTCGGAATCTCAAGAGATACGCATATTACCCAATATTACACCGAGTTGAAGTGGCTCTATCCATCCTATCGCCATCAGTACTTCCTAGCTACCTTTCTGTACCAGATAATTAGAACTCATCGACCCTCCTATATTTACCATAGGTCACAATTTAAATACTCCATCCAATTCCGTCCCACTAGATCTCGCACTTCCGACCTCTATCCCCCTCCTCACCGAATAGCTACGTTTGACAAATCATTTGCAATTCAAGCCGCATCCTTCTGGAATTCCATCCCTGCTGATATTCGACATGCACAATCAGTTTCCTCTTTCAAACCCCTCCTCTTTAAACACCTACTCCTTTCTCAATCCGCCTGATTACGAAATATACCTAAGAGAGCTATCTAAGTACCCCCAGAAAATATTTCTGTTATTTTAGTTTTCTCTGTTTGTATTATGTACGCTTTATACATGCTTATTATGTATGTATATGTACGCTTTTCATGTCTTTTTCTCTCTCTTCATCTGTATTTTTACTTTTAAATATCCAATATTGTAAATATTTACTCTATTGATGACCACTTTTACATGTATTCAGTACTTATAATTTGTTCTAAAGGGACAACAGTCCCAGAATAATAAAATATATTTTCATTTCATAAATGAAATGCAAATCTACTTATGAGTTAAAGATACTACCTCTAAATTAAAGTTAGGTATAACATTAATTTAATCGTTTAACATTAAGGTTAATCATATATTTAATAACACTATGAATATTTTGAACAAAGTCAAAGCTCCTGAGCTTTTATTAAAATCCACAGGAGTAATCTGGTGACGTTTTTTTAAAAAACTTTTGACCAAACCACTAAAAGACTTGATTGTTTACAAATACTTTCTGTTGAAATATTTTTATTATTATGGGATTTTTCACACTTTTTTCCTCCTTAAATCACTCTTTTCTTTTTAAAATCCTGTTATACTTTCAATAGATCCTTATAAATGTAGAAGATAATGTAGACACTTATAATATCTTATAAATACTTAAATATATTTATAAAAACAAATACCAAGGGGACAGAAAGAGAGTGGTTACATTCTTCCTGTCATTGTCATGATCCAATCTAGTACACTCATAAACATTTTGCACAGTTTCAAAATTGATTGTATTTTCAAAAATAATACCTCCGACAACATAATAATGGATCCTTACATCAAAGAAATCCAGAAAGTTATGAAAACTGGATACTCGATTGCCTAATTTTAAATTTGATTGAAATTTAAAAGAAACACAACAAAAAATAATAATGGAGTCTCATTTTGAATAAAACCGGAACCAGGAGTCACTTAAAGACCTTCTAATATCACCCTTTATCATTTAAACTTATTGCATTTTGAGGTTTCAGTCCAATTAATTTTATTTATTATTTTATTTGTTTACAGTTCACATCTGGTAATGAGGGACACTTATGATTGTGGTAAAGATCTGAAGATCTAGAATAAGGTCTTCTGCGGGATGCTTCCAAAAGGCAGTAGGAATGTTGGATTCAGACTGCGACAGTGCGCGACAGAGTTTTAAGATAGATAGATTGTTTTTTTTATTAAATCATCTAATCTTTCATAAAAACTCAACATCAAACTTACTTTGGTATAATGGGTGAGGTGAGTAGTTCCTCAATCCTGAACTAATATCCTATTAAAACAAGCCTAGACTATTTACCTCTCGATCACTGTTCTAAATAATATATATTACATGATAGACCATCCCACAATTTAACGGGGATTTTTAAGGATCTATCCTATCAGGTAAGCTAATTGAAGTCCCTTTTAATTGATTAGATTATTTCATTGTTACTAGAAAATAGATCATTAACCCTAATTAATTGCCAGTATAAGTAACTTAAATCAAGTTAAAATGTTTATATGAAACTGTTACAGTTATTTAAAATAATATTATGGTACAATATCACCTAGCTAAGTATGTATAATTTTTAAATAAATTTATAATTAATTAATTTACAATGCTTTCTTTGAATAAAAAAAAAAATGTTAGTATAAAGCAGGTACATACCTCTAAATAATGACCATTCTGAGGAATGTAGGGATACCATAGGGGTTTTGATGCAATACGTCCAGTCACACCAAGACCATTCAATACAGTAACATTAACTATTGTTGGCATTGCTCCATAATACAAAGGCTGAGTACAATAAGGCCACATATATTGGCATTCACCCAAGTCTATATAGCTACAAAAATAGTAAGTAAAAAGAAGTAATATAACAAATAAATAAGTGAATCAAATATATAAATAAAAAAGGCTAAGGGAACCCGAGCGTTTGATGCTGATACCATCAATCGCTGTATACAGACTTCCATCCACCAGCCAAAGTTCATTATCAAAATATTTCAAATGTCTTCAAAAATTCGAAGATAATAATACAGATGGAAATACTGGAGATTTTGAGATTGTGCAATCACTTGTCGATTTATTTTATTTCTTTCATTTAAGGGTCAATTATTATTTTGTCAGAGGAGCTTTTTATGAAACTATTATTGATTTTATGATTGCTTGACCAGGTATAATAATTTTTTGGATTTCTTTGATACAAGGATCCATTACTATCTTGTAGCAGGCATTTTTTAAATAAAAATACTATTGATTTTAAGGAACTAGTAACTTTTCAGATTTATTCAAAGTGAGGATCCATCAATATGTTACTGGAGGCTCAATTTTTTTATTCTGTTATAGCTTGATTAGGTCTTCATTTATTTGGATATTGAAAGGTGATATTGTTTTAGTTTTGTTAGATATGAAGTTATTAATGAGTGTACATATTTTGTTTGTGGTTGCATTTATATGATTTTCTGGTATGTGTAAATTGCCAAGTATGTTCTCAATGTCTATTATTAAATTGATTATATCTTTATCTGGAATAAAATAGCACCACATTATATCAAACCAAACATAACCTTAACAACTTAAGAAGAGAGTGCATGGTTGAATACAATGAAAATAGTTTAAACATTAAGAAAATAAAACTCATCAAAAAACTTTGTTTCAAGCTAAAACAGTTCATTGACTGAAATAATGATATTGTTATAATAAAATCAGATAAAGGCCGTTATTGTTTCGGCGTCCTTAGGAGAGCCTTTTGCATTCCATCTAAAACTCCTAAGGAACGCGCGCCTCCAAGTGGTACGGCTGGATAACTCTATTCCCGATAGAAGGCTAGGGATGGAGGAACTAAAACGAAACCCTCTAGGGCTAACTACCCTAGTTGTACTTAGTCGGGGTAACCTGACCCAAAAATAAACATTTACAATATCATGGAAGGAGCTTCACACGGAAAATACTACCCTGAAGACAAAGTCGGGCGATTGGATTCCAGGGTGCCAGACAGTGAGAAGCGGAGAGGTGGTGAATCGGAGCACCAAAAGAACCAACAACAGAAATTCAAGTCAAAACAAAAATATTACATTGGGACGTACAACATAAATTCGCTCATACAAGTAGGAAAACTCAGACAACTTACAACAAAATTACGTAGATTGAAAATATCCATAATGGTATTGCAAGAGACCAGATTCACAGACTCAGAAGCAACAGAGTTCGATGGGTATAGAATACTCAAGGGAAAGCCAGGAAGGAAAATCATGAAAGGGATTCCACACCTAGGGACAGCCTTTGTAATAGATAAGAAATTTTTAAAAACAGTAACAGACTTCAGAAGCACCAACTCCAGACTATCACTCCTCACAATAAAAGCAACTAACAAAAAATACACGCTGATAAATGCTCATGCACCCATAAATGAAGATAACAGGAGGGACCCGGAGTAGGTGGAGGACTTTTGGAGAGGTCTAGAAGACAAGATTAATAAAATACCTCAAAACAATGTAAAAATACTACTGAGAGATTTGAACGCACAATTAGGACGAGAAAGAAATATAGGGAAACAGTGGGAGAGTATCCAGCACACAAGAGGACAAATAGGAACGGAGAAAGACTGATACAACTATGCCAAAACGCAGGGTTAAAAATCATGTCCACACATTACAAAGCAAAACCCAGCAAAAAGAAAACATGGGTATCACCTAATTCCCTCCTGGGAGAGTTCCAACTGGACCATGTGGTGATCTCCAGAAGATACCAAAAGGAAAAACAGAATGTCAGAGTAAAAAGAGCAATCAATGTAACATCTGACCACTTCCCCTTACAAATAAAGATAAAATTGGTACCAGCAAAAAATATTCAACACACAAAAACCCCTAGGAAAAAGCAAATAGATAGACAAATCCTGGTAAGAGACAAAAAACAGGAATACAGAGAAAGGTTAAAAACCTCACAAAACTGGGAAGAAGCGGCTAAGAACATGACGGACCTGGCAGAAGAAATAGCACCGCTAGAAATATATAAAAGAAAAGAATGGTGGGACATAGAGTGCGAAGATGCAATAAGGAAAAGACTGGGAGTGTGGAAAAGCTGGAACCAAAACAAAACAGTCGAGAACTATTAAAAGTTTATTATCGAAAGAAAAATTACGCACCAAATACTAAGAAGGAAAAAGAGAGAATTCCTCAACAGGCAGCTGGAAGAAATGGAAGAATGTTTCAGACGAAACTATACTAGACTATTCTACAAGGCTTTTAATCAAAGAGTCAAAGGATACATCCCCCCAGGAATAGTGCTAAAAAGAAAAGACGGAACACTGGCACAAACAAACGAGGAAAATTGCAACATACTGGCGGATTATTTCGAACAACTGCTGAACAGCGAGAAGCCCAAACAGAGAATGACTCCACATGACAACATCCTCCTGGAGATGGAATCAGACCCACCCGACGAGGAAGAAATAGAAGAAATAATCGCAGGACTTAAAAACAATAAAGCATCTGGAGAGGATGGAGTATTGGCGGAAATGTGGAAAGTAACAGGTGATGAATTCAGGAAGAAGATCACAGAATTGATGATGGACATCTGGATAGAGGAGAAAATTCCCAGAGAATGGAAAACAGCCTTGATACATCCACTGCATAAGAAAGGAACAAAAACAGAAGCTGACAACTACAGAGGAATTTCCCTACTACCCGTCACTACAAAAATTTCTCCAAAGCACTACTCAACAGACTAAACCCACAAATAGACCCTAAAATCGGAGAATATCAGGGAGGCTTCAGAAAGGGAAGATCATGTCAACCTGTTAAACCTGTGATACTATACGGGACGGAAACCACATGCCTCCCCAGTCTGGAAAAATTGTTGAGAATAGAGCGAACAATTCTAAGAAGGATTTACGGCCCCAAAAAGACAAAAGAAGGATACAGACTAAGATCCAATCAGGAAATATACAAGGACACAAGAGATCTAGAAACGGAAATAAGGATCAGGAGACTGAAATCCCACGGACATATGGTAAGAATTGCCCCAGAAAGACTTAACAAGGAAATATTCCAAAAATTTCGTAGATACAAAAGCTTGGGAGGATAAATCAGGCAGATGAAGGAAGAAACGGAAAGACTTGGAATAACGGACCAGGACTGTCTGGACAGAGAGGGGTATGGTAAGAGACTAAAGGAGATCACGGTTCTTGTTAAGAAGAAAAGTTCGAGAAACGGAGTCGCGTGGACGGAGGAGAAAAAGCGGGGCAGCGCGAGGAGATAATGAGAGAGAAGTGGAAAGAAAGAAAAAACAAGAAAGAAGCCAAATGTCATGATATTCGCGTGGTCTCTATGGCCATTCCGTGAAAAAAAATAGCAATACTCTATAAAAAAGATTACAATGATAAAATGGAGGAGCTATTGAGTGACAAAAACACTTATAGGAAAATAAGGAATAATCTGATACCTGCAATAAATAGTAAAGTCTATACATATGTAAATAAACTCCATAAACTAGGATACATAGATAAATTCACTAAAAACAAACTTTCAGCTTCAGACTCCACTACACCAAGAATCCATGGCCTCATAAAACGACACAAAACTGACAATAGATTAAGACCCATAATAAACAATAGAGATGGATCAACTGAAGTTCTCTCTAAATTCCTAAACCTATCTCTCAACGCTCTTAATAATAACAATAACTTTGATGTCAAAAATGCTATGGAATTGAAAGAAAGAATTAAAAATATCCAATATAATATACAAGACGTAGAAATTATAAGTTTAGACGCTGAATCACTTTTTACTAATATCTCATTAGATGAATATATAAAAACTATAGAGGACAATTGGGATAGAGCAAAAAGTGAAACCAAAATTAAAGATAAAAGAATATTCATTGAAGGAATAAATCTATGTACAAGAAATAACTATTTCAAATATAATAATGAATTTTATAAACAACTTTCGGAATGGAAAGTACTCTGTCAGCGAATTTAAGTGGCATATTTTTAAACAAACTGATATCTCTGATTTATCTATATATATATATACTGGAAAGCTTCAACCAATATAACAAAAGAATCAGATTTACAATAGAAAAAGCCACAAACAATAGACTCAGATTTTCGGACATGGACATAATTTTGGACAAAGAACAGATACTTACCAAATGGACAAAAAAAGAGAAAACCAGTAAAAGAATCATTAACTTTAGCTCAAACCATCCCAAATATCAAATAATTAATACAGCCAAGAACCTAATACACAAAGCAATAGAATTTACTGACAAACCTTTCATTCCACAAATAAAAACAGAAATATACAAAATACTTATTGAGAATTTTTACCCTGTAAACTTAATCAACAAACTTTGGTACAGTCGATTACATACAACACTAAACCATAATGATAATAAAACCAAAAAACACCAAAAGAAAACATTACAATAAAGAAATCTACACAACAATTCATCACCCAATATTTTGAAAAAACAAATTCAACAAACGAGAACAATCAGGACAACTGTCACAAACAAACAAAGTGGACTTTAACTACCACTACAAAATGACATACATACCTGAACTTACTAACAAAATTAAAGACGTGTTTAAAAATTATGACATAACAGAAATCAAACTTGGGCAATATAATAATAAAAAACTGAGCAGGCACATCACCAATACAAAAGATAAAATAGACTTAATAAACAAGAAAAATGTAATTTATAAATTAAATTGTCAAAACTGCCCCAAAATCTACATTGGAGAAATATCCAAACACTTAGGGACCAGAATTTCACAACACAATACTAGCTGGAAAAATACAAAAAACATAAACACGACAGCTTTAGCACATCACA